GCCACCAGGACAGGCTACAGAAATGGTCCGTATCAGTCTTAATACCCCTTCTTGTAGGACTCGGAATAGCAGACTCTGCAGCTGTATGTACTACTGCTCTCATCAAGGGAGAAAATGAATTACGTGAAATTGGAATACAGAAAGATAAGGATATCGAGACCTTAAAAGACACCATCAGCAGGCTAGAACTTCAAGTCGATTCACTAGCAGAAGTAGTCCTCCAAAATAGAAGAGGTTTAGATTTATTATTCTTAGAACAAGATGGATTATATATGGCTCTAGGTGAAAACTGTTGCTTCTATGCTGATAACTCTGGAGTAATTAGAGAGAGCTTACAACTAGTACAGAGAAATTTAGATGCCAGGGAAAAACAGAGATTAGAATCAAATAACTGGTTTCATAGGATATTCAATTGGTCACCGTGGCTAACAACTCTTCTATCTGCTGTAGCTGGACCTTTAATCATCCTCCTCCTCTTGTTAACTTTTGGCCCATGTTTCCTTAATTTCTGGTTTGTACATATAAGGAAAAGAATTAATTCCATTAGACTTTTAGTATTACAAAATAGAGGCTATGAGCAAACTCCATATGAAGAATCAAAGATCTGATTTTCTGCTAAGGCCAAGGGGGATGTGCTGGCTGGAAAATTACTGCTTGGCTATCGCCCATGGGATCATAGGTTATCACCCATGGGAACACAACATTCTAATAACAAGCTTTCTGCTTCTGTACTCCCCGCTTGCACACCCAACCTGTGGGTTGACAGGTAGTGAATAGGAGAAAAATAGACCTTTGTGTTTAAGACAAAACGAGGAATGGGATTTAGGGCTTAAAAACCCTGTACCTCTACATTTCGGGGCTGCTTAATTTGGGGTCTGCATACCCCTGGCAGACCCAGCTGACTGAATAAAGAGCGTGTTTCCTATAACTCACTGATTTCTGGTGGTCCGTGTGTCTTTCAGGGGCTGGCAGCTACAACAACTTCTACCCGACGGCAGAGACTGCTCTGTTAATCACTGCCAAGGAGAGTGGAAAGGGAGGGAGGGATAAGGGTTTCTGTGTCCTGGGCTTCTGAGAGGACCCGGGAAAATAGTGATGGGGACTGCTTAGCCACAACCACCGAAGAGAGGATAGAAGTCGGAAGCCCGACCTCAAACAAATGAATCAGGAGGGGCTCCTGCCCTCCGCAGACTTCAGCTACGAAGAGAGAAACAAGGTCATGGACCTGAAAATTCTGACCAAAAAGACAGAAAAACAGGGCCCCGACACCAAAGGACGCAGGGAAGAGGCGGGGCTCGGACCGGTTGAGCACTCCGGGGGCGGGGCTGACAAGGGGGCGGGGCTCTCTGGGCCCCACGAAGTCTAGGACCTGCAGGACCCCCGTGAGGGGCGGGCCGCGAGAGGGCGGGGCCTCAGGGGCGGAGCCACAACTGCGCTAGCTAACACAGGCTCGTTAGGTCACCTCCCCACGACTGGCCCCAAACCTCGTTCCATACCCTGACTCCGGCAGGGCTGATCCGGGATGTCGATGGTGTAGTCCAGCTCAGCCGAGACCATGGTGAAGGTGCGGGCTCTCAGCACCGGCCTGCTGACGGAACTCCCGCTCGCGCACCGCGCCTCACCCGGGCGCCTCCTGGGCACCGCCCAATTACCACCCACCTCCCTCGACACTGCCCAATCCCTGAGCGCTCTCTGTGACCTCCCACCCTAGCAACCACACCGAGTCTCTAGCGGAGCCTCTCGCCTCACCCCACTAGCCCGGCCCTAGCAACCATGCTCCGCCCCGCTCTATCCCTGGCCCTCGGCCATTGGCTGAGCACTAGATGTGGATCAGGTAGTGGTCAGCCGGGACGCCGGTCAGAAAGAGTCCCCACCCTCCTATGTAGGTAAGAGGGTCTGAGGGAGATTTGCGGTTCTCTGGATATGGGAGAGTGGGGAGGGTGCCAGTCTTCCTTCCCCACCGCGTCTTGTCCTACCGAGTGGTCGGAAGTGCCCTTTGGCTTATATCATCTAGCTACCTCTACCATCCTCTACCAGCTGCAGCTCCGAAAGCTGAGGTTGAAAACCACACAAAACAACCTAGGGGGCTCGTGCCGGCCCCATCCTCCACCCAGTAGGACGAGGCATATTCTGACTGGTGGGGTAGGAGGCAGTGGGGGAGTTGGAGGTGGGGGTTGAAGGGTGGTAGTGTCTTCAGGGGAAGACTAGAGAATGCCTTGGTCGTGGGAGACACAGTGGGGCTAGGGAACACCGTGTTCTTGCATTTATCCATGCATTTAACAGATATTTACTGAGCACCTATTATGTAGCTGGGCTCTAGAAAGGATTAAGCTTTTGGCTCTGACTTCCATAAATCTTGAGAGGGAGAGGAACCACTCATGAACCAACTTTCAGAAGCTCAAAAAGAGGAAACTGAGGGGTGAGTTCCAGAACTTATGAGGAGATATTAATGTGAGAGTAATCTTGGAAAAACAATTAGGCCCAGATCCTGGATGGTCTTCGATGCAAGCTCAATTTATAAGTTGATCTTATTTATGGTAAAAATTTTCCAGTGTGTTTCTTATGAGTGCAAGAGCTTAGACTTTCTCCTAAGGAAAAAGGGGAGTCATTTCAGAGCTTTAGAAAAGGAGTAACAATGAGATTTGTATTTTAGAAAGTCAAATGCAGAGAATGGATTGGGGATTAAGAGGAGGGAGAACAGTTAGGAAGTCGTTTCAGTAATGTGGAAGGATAACAGTGGCCTAAAGCATAGAGAGGTAGCAGGAACAATGAGAATGGATTCCTTAGACGCTTATAAGTTAAAAAGAACTGGACTTGGTGCCTGGTGGGGCAAGTAGGAGAAAAGATGACTTTTAAATTCCTGGCTTTGGCAAACAAAAAAGAGAGGATGCAGAGCTTTTTGGAGAGGGTAAGTTCTGGGCCTGGAGAATTTGAAGTGCCAGTGGGACATCCAAATGGAGGTGTCCAGGAGGCAGTTGAGTGTGCCTGACTGGAGTTTGCAAGGTATGTTTAAAATGGAAATAGAAATGTGGTAGTCTGTAGTGCCTTATAGGTACTACACCAGTGGATTGGTTTGTTGGGCTTGCCCAAAGAGAATATGTATGTAGAGTAAGAAGAAAAAAGGGCCAAGGACAGAGCACTGAGAGGCACTCAAGTCTCAGAGTCTGGCAAAAGAGAATGAACCTGCATAGGTAATTGAGATGAAATGTCCAGAGTGGTAAGATAATCAGTAGTAGAATGTGGTGTTTCAGAAGCCTAGGGAGGATAGTGTTGAAGGCCCATGACTAATCAAATAAAGTCTGAAAAAATCCACTGGATTTAGAAACAAGGAAGTTGTTGGTGACCTCTCCAAATGCGGTTTCTATGGAGGCCTGGAAGCAGAGGTCAAATTACAGTGAGAAGTGAGTGGGAAATTAAGGAAGTGAAGACTGCATGTACAATATAGTTTCAAGATGTCTGGCTCTTTAGGAAAAAAAAGAAATATAGCAGTAGCTGGAAGGAGACACAGGTGTTTTCAGGTGGAAGAAATGCTGTTGGCATGGATCCAGCAAAAGGAAAAAGATAAAATTATAGAGAAAAAGAGGTAACTGAGACAGTAGCAATCCCAGAAAAAGAATAACAGGGGATTCAAAGCATCGATGGAGAAATTCGCTTAGAAAGGTGGAGAGACATTTGCATTGTAACAAAAAGGAAGAAAGTATGTGAAATTAGTTCATTAGTAGGTTTGGTGGCAAGAAGTTGAAGGAATTCTTGTTTGTGGTGTATTTTCTCTGTGGAACGGACAAGATATCAGCAAGTGAGAGAGGGTTTGGAGACAATGTGCAAGGTTCGAGAAGAGCAGAGAGAGATTGAAATAGCTGCAATGAAGAATGGGAATGGCAGCATACAGATTTCTGGGCAGTTATGAGGCTTGTTGAGGTTGATGACCATTAATTTGTAGCAGAAGCAATCTGCATCATCGTATGACATGTATATTTTCCCCAACAATATTCAGCCATCTAGTGGTGGGTACAGACAGATTAGTTGAACAGGTTTGGGTTTTATCAGGTGGATGAAATGGAAGGACAAAGGGCAAGGAAGTTGAGGATCCTGGAAAAAGGTTGAGATGATGGACTTTAGAATCTAACTGCATAAGAAAATGTAAAAGTGTTATGGACTAGGGGTCCCAATAAAGTCAGAAAACCCGTATCTTGGAAATAGTTGGATAAGTCATGATCAGAAAGTAGACATTTGTATAGTTCCAGGTAAGGCCCAGGATGTGGTCATGGGTGTGTGTGGCTGAAGTGGAGAGCAGAAAACATTCAGGATGCTGACATAGCCATTGAAATCCCCCTGGATAATGGCAGGACTTGAGGAGGCGAAAGGAAAGAGAATGCTCGTTTGCTAGGTACCGAAGTCCTTGATGAATAAATTAGGTTGTCCTGGAATCTAGATGATGGCACAAGGAGGTCAATACAACTGAATGGCATAACCCTCAAAGTAGCAAAGGTTTTTACAAAAAGGTAGTGGGATAAGGAACTGGGTTGGGCTTTGGTGAAGAGAAACTTAGTCCCACTTCCAACTCTGAGATCCTGCAGGTGTAAGAGTATAGGCAACCTCCACTAGGGAGGGCTATGCAGAAGTGGCACCCTAAGGGAGAGGCAGCTTTCAGGGCAGGCTGGAGGTAGGCAGAGCAGCTGAGGAGAAGCTAAGAGTGGAGGAGATTTTCCTAATCAGGAACATAAGCTTTCGACGGCAGAGTAAGAAGACTGGGAGAAGGAAAGGTAGGAAATCAGGTCAAGGAAGATGAAGCATAGAGCAATGAAGGGGTGAAGAGAATGCGGGTAATGAGGTTATGATTGACCTAGAGAGTTTCATTTTATGGGGAGAGTATGAGGGCGGATCTATGGAGTAGAGTTGGGGGCAAAAAATAGTCTGGGGAGAGGAAAAGTGGGATCTGTAGGTAGAAAATGACGGTAAGTCTGGGGAGAGGATGAAGGCAGAGGATAATGCAGGAAGGAGATGGGGGAAAGATGATCTATAGGGAGAGGATGGAGGGAAAGGCAACTATGGGGAAGAGATGGGGCAGATGGAGTCTGTAGGGAAGTGATGGATGGCAGGAGGGGTCTGAGAAGAGAGTATGAATGGAGAGCAGAAGGTAGGGAGTCTGTGAGAAGGAAGTAACAAATTGCAGTGCATATGCCCTTTGGCTGGGCCTAAAGTTTGGGAGGAAAATGTTTCTTTGTGTCTGTCTGTCTATCTCTCTGTCTCTCTCTCTCTGTCTGTCTCTGTCTCTGTCTCTCTGTCTCTCTGTCTCTGTCTCTCTCTCTCTCTCTCTCAATGGGGAACTGAGAGTGAGGAGTCAGAATGGGAGCCCAAGGAGGAGGCCTCTGTTCCATTCTGCAGGTGGAACCTGCAGGAACAGCACATAGTGACTGCCTTGTTGTCTCTGAGGCCATCTGGGAACAGTGAGCCAGGCTGACAGCTCATGCCCTGGAGGCTTCTTGCTTTTAGAAACAATTCTTTTGATTTCGGGGGAAGAAAAGCCCTCTGAGAAATTTTATTTAGAAACAAGACCTAGTGACGTTTTGGTTTTATAATACCTCTTCTCACTTGTTGCTAAGGACATTTGGCTTAGTACAAGAGCTGGGTTTTGAGATTTTGTGATTTTCGCTTCCCTGCATGAAGAAGAACCATTTGGCTGCTATAGAAATGATTTATAGATGAGTCTAGATTTATTAATCACCTCTGTAGATGGAGAGGAAATTAAAAACAGAGGGTCCACTCTGGGCTGAAGACAAAGTAGGTTTGTCGTCCTTGCAGAAGACCTTGCCAAGGTTACAAGGCCACAAACAAACCAATTTGGACCAAGGTTCCTAATCCGGATTTTAATTTCATGTGCTTTGATTTTTCAGACCATTTTCTCTCCAAGGTAAAATAATGACTCTTTTAATTGGCTGCCACTTACAGAGAGATTCCAATAAGCATGATGGCATACATATATTTTTCTCTGGCGTTCCGCTTGTGCTTCAGTTCTTCTGATCAAGCTGGTGAAGCCGACTTTTGCAGCATGCTGCATGCCATGACCAGTTGACTATAAATTAAATCCTCTTTTCCAAAAGCCATTTTCCATTAGTGATAATTTGTTTGCTTCTCATTTCCTCTGATCATTAGAGTCTCTGGTAGTGAGCACAAAATTGGAAATAATTTCTTTGACGTTTCAAAAAAAATTTTCTCCCCTTCTCCAATGCCATTTGGCTGCAGCTAAAGAACATTTTGGTTTGCAGAGGAACAGTTCACTCCAATTACAATTTAACTGACCGTTCATGGCACTGAATCCCTGTCCTTTGCGTCCAAAGATGACACCACTGCTGACATTGCTATTTCCTGTCATAGCTGTAAAATGCCTCATAGAATCTGCACTGGCCTTCTTGGCTGGAGATTCTGCCACCCTGCACATGGCAGCTTTGGGAAGTTGGTCATTTTATGGACCTACATATCACAGACACTCAGATATAACCATCTAAACAAGAGCGGGCTGATTTCTTCTCTTATTCACCCAGCAAGCATTTATTAAACACCTGTATTGTGCCAGGCATTATACCAGGCCCTGGGGACCCAGAGATAGGGAAAACCAACCTCTGTCTTTGAGGGACTCACTCTATAATGGGAGGGAGGGTTAAGTTTTACAGTATAGTAGGTAGGGGAAGAGATGGCATAGGTGGGAACACAGAACCAAGAGGCCCTAGTTGTCTTGAAGAATTAGGCAAAGGGGAAAAAGGAGTCTGGCCATTCCGGATGGCAGAGCAGCGTTGACATGCAGAGAGGACCTTGGAAGGGCCTGGGGAGTTGAGAAGTCCAGGTCTGTTGTAATATGGAAGTGACAAAATGAGGTTGGCCTAGAGCC